CCTGCTGACCCATTTCTCCACCCTGTCAAGGTCCTTCTCAATCAATCACTCCTCCTAGTTTTGCATTGTTTGCAAAACTTGGGTGTTTCATCATCCAAGTTATTAATGAAGATGTTGAACAATACTGGCTCCAGTATGAACCTCCAGAGTACACCGTTAACGACCAGCTCTCATGCTAGTCACTGGAATTCATTCCACTGATCACAGCCCTTTGATCTCAGCACCTCTGCCCATATCTTATCAGTTTGTCAGTAAGAATGTTATGGGAGCTGGTTCAGAAAGCCTTGCTGAAGTCAGGATAAATAACATTCACTATTGTCCCCTCATCCTCCAAGTCATTCATCTCATTTAAAAGACTATTGGGCTAGTCAAGCATGACTTGTCCTTCACAGATCAATGCCAACAACTCAGCCATTTTCCTGAATTTGTATGTTGGCTTCCAGGAGTGTTTGCTTCACCACTTGCCCAAGGACTGAAATGAGGAAGACCCACCTTTAGTTCCACAGAGTCTTCTTCTTGCCCTACTTTAAGACCTTTGCTCTTTTCCAGTCCCCAGAAAGCTCCAATGAACACCACAAACATTCCGACGATAATCAAGAGTGGTCTTGCAATGACATCTCTCAGCACCCTCAGCACGCAGGGGTTGCATCCCACCAGGGCCTATACGTACAGCATATGTAGTTTGTTCAAATATTCCCTAATAAGATTCTCCTCTGCCAAGGGAAAGTCTTCCTTGCTCCAAACCTTCCCCTGGGTCTCAAGGGCCTGAAATTTTTGAAGGTTGGTATTACCAGTGAAGACTCAGGTCAAGAGGGCATTGAATACCTTTTTCCAGGTCTTTTGTCATGAGGTCTCCTGCTCCATTCAGCAGCAGGCCCTACTGTTTCTTCTACTGCTGACAGACCTGTAAAAACCCTTTTGTGTTCCTTCATATCCCAGAAGAACTCCAACTTTTGTTACTGCAGAATCACAGAACGGTTGAAATTAGAAGGGACTTCTGAAAATCATCTACTCTGATCCTCCTTTGAAAGCAGGGTCAAATAAAAATTGCTCAGGATCTTTTACTAGAGTTTTTTTTAAAAAAGGAAAAAGCAAATAGAGAAACATGGGATTCTTTATCCAAAGACTCTAACCTTAAGCTCTAAAGGCAAGAGTTTAAATTCCCTTTTTTATAAGGGCCACTCAGGAACCTAAACTGTGAATGAAGAGTTGAACTCTTGAAACTTAACCAAATGCAACTCTGGTTTTTAAAATCTTGCTTCTACTGTCACAATTCACTGATGCCAACAACCTTAATCCGAAAATCACACATCTCAAAGAGTCAGAAGCACCTTATTTGTTTGGTTTCGCCCAGAACAATTGAAAAAGCAAACATCAAGCTGATCAATGTGAAGTGGTGGGAATTTTCAGTGGAACTTACAAAAAGAGTATAGATTTTCTCCCACTCAGGAGGCACACAACAGGCACCAACTGAATGCCTTCAAAGTTTCAGACTGTCTCTAACTCACTCCCCACCGAAACAGAATAAGCAAGTCAAGGAAAAACAATCCGTAAAAGGAAGATAAATTTGGGGATCTGAAAGATATGGCAGTATTAGCCATGTTTTTGTTTTTCTCTTGGCTTTCTTGTTTTAATTTTACCAAAGTGACCGACTCTATCACCTTATTTACAATGTCTTACCCTTGGATGTGAAACATACCTTAAAGATCGGGTATAGTAATCTGCCTTATCTGCTAGGCAGTGATAAACTCAATTTAATTATGTACCAAGTATAAGCTACATTTTTGAAAAGCATACACAAAAGTCTTTTCATTTTCTTCCTTTCTGGAGTTGTATTTAACTAATGGAAGTTCTGTTCTGAACACCAGAATCTACCTTCGTTCCCCTTCCATTCGCACAAAAGTAGAACCAGATTCAGAAGAAACCTGGCAGGACACCCAAGGAATATACTTCATTTACAACCCTTATTGAATCAAGCTTCATTAACTTGAGAGGCTAGACAGGCCTCTAATGAATACCAAGGGATTCAGAGCTGTTAAAAATAATAGTAAAGAAGGGATTGCTAGACAACTCCTTTCACTCTCCAAGCTGGCAAGACTGAATGTATCAAGCATTCGGTTTTGGGATGTTTAGAGTTTTTTTCCCTGTTCTTCAAAAATGTCCAAAACAAACAAAAAAAAACACACTAGCTTGAATCGACTCCTACCTTCCTACCACTTCCCTATTCAGCTTCCTAACTCTACTCAGTACTCCAAGTCTCCTGGCTTATAGATGACTGTCAACAAGGCAACAACTAGCTAGGCAACAAATGAGTATTTCTGTATGTTCACTGAAATGTGCATTAAGTTTTTCTGCACATCACAGAAGGACTTCAGTGTCTTTGTTTCCGTTCCTCAAACACTAGTGGGTTCTCCACCTGAACTGCATACAGCCTGAAGAACAGGAGGTTCCATTTCTTTTTAGCAAATACATAAACTCCAGCCTTCCCAGGGGAAAATTAGCAGTTCTTTATAAAAAAAAAAAGAAACTAAAATTTCTAGTTATAGAAACAAATTTCCAGTTCAATTTTTAACAGAATTGTCATTCCAGTTCATTATCTCATTGAGAGATCAGACTAGAACAGGATAAATCAAAACCAAATGCTTTAACACACAGCTCTGAACCAGATACCCGAAAAATCCAAATACACTTCACAGCTGAAAACGTTCAGTTACCAGCACTTAGCTCAATGTTTGTTAAAGGAAATTACTGGTCATGAAGAAAGTGGTATGTTGAAATAACTGTAATTTTTCAAATATTCAGTGCTCTGCAAAAGGTTCAATAAAAATAACATTTATTTAGAAAGCCTGACTTGTTCTTCTCTGAAAAGAGTCTGAAGGTTATTTTTCTTAACACTTAATTCCACTACCATGGCAACTCTACAACTTCCTTCGGACTCCAGCTACCATGGATGTCATACACTGGTCTTTTTCCCTTTGAAAACTATACACCAGCTGCTATGTAGTGTAACCTACAGTACAATGCAAAACAGTCCTCATCCATTCTGATTCCTCCAACATGCTGTAAAACACAGGCATGAGGAAAAGCTAAGACAACCACTAACAAAATCTCAGCTATTACCGATCTCAATCCTACAGTCACCTTACAGAAACAGCTGCTATTCCAGCCCCAGGTTTTCCAAGTTTACAACAGTCAAGCCAATGCACAGCCACTTACAAGGGGAATTATTCTCACCAGCAACCAGCATTTTCTCCCACACACCTAGAGCAGCACACAGCAAAAGCTCTCTCCATGAACACCAAAACAGCAGCTCTGAACAAAACCACACTGAATGGATGCAGGTGCTGCATGAGAGCTTATGTGAACCACTTCTGACCAATACACACACCAGCTGAGGAGGTTGTGAAAACTCAGCTCTGAACACCAAGCAAAACCATGTTCTCTTCCAACATTCCAAGCACCTACAGAAATACCATGGAAAGGATGCAACTTGTCCTTTAAAATGGAAATGCTACTATGATACTAAATACTCTGCCATCTGACCATGTCAAAATTGGCTGTGCTCAACCTAAGAGCTCAGCAGTAGCACGATTCTGTGTCAGCTGTCAGGAAAGAACTGTAACTCCCTGGATAAAGCACAGTGCTATGTATTTTGAGACTTGATTTTGAGGTCCTTCAACATTAGAAAAAATACCGATAGCCCAAATTAAGGCCTGTCAATTAAATATTTTATGCATGTTATATACATCTATCTAAATTCATTAATAACTCACAGGCTACCCAAAACCTCCAAAGGGAGTTTAGAGAGAGAAAAATTGTAATGCCAAGTTACCTCAGGTCCTCCAAGCACCTGGTTACATACTTATACATTATGCACAATGTGTAGCAACACGGTGTATGTATACACACACACTGCAGAGATTTACACACTGGTACATTGCTACGTATTAGTTCCCCAATATATCTGCACTCTTCTCTTTTTTCGCTAAGACAGAAACCTTTGTCCTTGCAGCAGCAGCTGCACCTGATCCAGAGCCAATCAATTGGATATTCTCTGCCCACTCTCATCCGACACTGCACATGTATCTGCAACTACTGTTTTGGTATAAAACCATTCCTGTTTTTATATAATCCACACTGAAAATTTGGTTTTAATCATTCCTCCTTCTCTGGACATTGAAAGAGAAAGATGAAAAGACACGTGATTTTGCATATTTTTCTATCCATGACTGAAGAAAAAGGGCTCTCCTTAAATAATCTCCTAAAATATCACGTCTCGATCCTTCTAGCAACTAAAACATGTATCTTCATTGTTAAAATGATGAAAATTAACATGTTTTAGTGACCATATGGGAGCTTAAAAATATTAACTGAAAAAGAAAAAAAAAAAATAAAAAAAGGATAATACCTCTGACCTTCAGCTTTCAGTTTTCCAACGGTACAGACAACACATGCTTCATGATACAGCACAGCAAAGCAAACTAAAGCACAGCTACAAAATTACTGAATGGACCAGAAAGTAGAACATATAACTTCTACAAGACACTCACATTTTTCCAAAGGAAACCACTACCAGTCTGCATGACTTACTCTTCCTGACCATGTGTGTAGGCCATGCTGTCCTGACTAAGATGGTATACAGTACTAATTACTTACCTACTGATGGCCTTATTACATCTTTAAGAACGAGAGTTTTACTTTTATGTATTCACTGTTTAAATATCTTACTCAATTTTATACTTCAAAGACAAAATTAGCTTCAGAGCACAACTAGTATATGAACTCACAATAAATACAGCAATACACCACTTTAATAAAAACACTAAAGGTAAGGTATGTGACACAAACAAGGACAAATATAAACAGAACAGCTATTTAGCTTTCCTCATCACAATAATCGATCACCCTGGGAGTTAGGTACTACAGTAGCAATGGCAGAAGAAAATTGACTTACCTATACTTGGTGGACTGCCATAATTTACAGGGGACTCTGGAGGCCTTCCACAATGCAGAGCAGCAAGAGCAGATCCCTTCCACACAACATGTTTGCAACCTGTTTTTTAAAAATCACACACAAAAGAAAACCCATAGGCAAGTGGGTTTTTTTTTCCCATGCAAAACTACAGGAAAGGCATGAAATATCAAGAACTCTCGAAATTCTCATAAAATTTTCATACTTTTGTTTGTACGCAGCAAGGACTGTCTGCCAGCTCCTAATAACGTCTGCACTCCAGGGACACTTTGGGGAATTTCTTGCTCTAGAAGTGGTCCAAGTCGATGGCATATTTGAAGCAAGTGATCAGGTGCCAAGTGTCTGTAATATTTCACCTATCATATCAAAGAGCAAACAAAACATTTGATAAAGAACGCAATATTTTTGATGCATTAATGGTTTAATCTTTCCCCCCCAGACTGTTACACAGATGTGTAAGAATATTATAGTATATTAAGGATAAACACAAATAATGACCTTTAAGTACAATCATTCATTCCAGCTGGTCCTAATTAATTCTTCTATTCAGCACATGCCACTTTGCACAGGGAACTGTTGGTATTTACTACTTTCTGACTTTCAGGCACAGTTGGTTATAGGCTAATAAGCTCCCTTATCACAGTAAAAAAAATGTAAGGTATATATTCAACATTATATTTAAGTAGTGTCTGCTCAATTTAAATGACTTTAGGATAAAGACAAGACAAAGATTGTAAAGACAACAACATCCAGAGAATTCTTGCAAGATCACAAATACCAAATAAATGACAGCTCTGCAGGAGACAACACAAAAACATTCTGCCTCGGCTCACCTAACTTACAAGACCTTGCTGAAGCTCCACAGCTGGATTTATTTGTTTATTTTACATCTAAACCTTTTAAACAAAGCCCTTGGCTTAAGCAATTCAACTTGAAAATTAGCATATGTGGTCCCTATTACACTACAAACATGACAAGTTTTTGTAATAAGATTTTAAACTGCACAGCACCAAAACAAGCTCCTATTGCCAGCAACAGATCTCACCACTTGATTATAACAATGTTCAACCAGAATTAACGACTGCCCACACGGAACCATTTCATTCTTTTGAACTACTATAATTCTAGATCAGAAAACTGTTTTAAATAACAAGGAAAAAAAGCTTTGAAACGTATGTGACAACAGTAAAATCCTACTAACATAAAGCTGTTGGTTAAGAAATAGCATTTTGAAAATGCACAGGCTATTGTCAGTGCAAACTCTAAGAAAAAAATTTAAATAATGAATTAGGAGGGAGAATATACTCAGTTTTCTTTAGTTCTTGTACAGGATTTGGCATGTAGTAGTTTTGTCCTTCATAGAGCCTGAAATACGTCTTCACAGCTTTACTTCACAGAAGAGAAAAAGCAGAAGTACTGCAGTAAAAGCTTGTGATGTTTCATTATTCTGCAACTAGAGGAGGCCGTGACTGACATTCAGGCAGAAGGATGCTTCTGTGTGACACCCAATTAACAGGAATATACCTTATTCCTCATCAAATGTGCTCCCATCTTGCTGACACCCTGTAATCATTTCACGTATTCTAGCAGTTTGTTAACACAAAGAGTGCTGATGTCCGAAACTGAGGCTCTGGTAAAGCCTTGCTTACACCAGTAACCACCACTACAAACACCCAGCAAAGGAGGGAGACATTTTTCTGCTGCTCCTGCCATGGTTTAACCCTGGGCAGCAGCTCAGCCCCACACAGCCACTCGCTCACTCTCACTGCAGTGCAGTGGGGGAGAAAGTCAAAGGGTAAAGGAGCAAAAACTCATGGATTGAGATAAAGGCAGTTTAATAGGCAAAGCAAAAGCTACACAACAAGCAAGGCAAGAATTCATTTGCAGCTTCCCATCGGCAGGCAAGTGTTTAGCTGCTTCCAGGAAAGCAGGGCTTTCCTTCTGTGAATGATATTGCTCTTGCAGAAAGCCTTGCAAGCTGCCTGAATTTGTCTGCCTGAAAAGTGAAATGACTTACACAATTCACACGAGTCAAAATAAGGCAAACATTTTTCTTTCAAAATATATTACAAATTATATTATTCTTAAATAAAGTTACAGTTGATCGTACAGATCAGCTCATACAAAATTACTAAATTCAGTGTAATCAGACAGGCAACCTATTAGAACAGTGGCCAAAAAATAATCCAGAATTCAGAATTTGCTATCCCAATTAATTTTTCCTTTCAGTAATGCACAAATCAGACATGCTTTTCTCTACTTAAAGGAGGAATCACAGTCAAAATACATGCTTGAGAGCTCTAAAATACCCAAATAGCTGTAAGAAGTGACAAAGCTATATACAGTTTTTGCCACCAACAGCCCTGATCCATTTCCTTAGCTTTTGTTCTCCTCTGCTCCTATCAAAAGGAGCATAAAAACTTAACAAACGCTGCTTTTTGCATAATTCCATCTGAAACCCGAATTTACATCTGCAGAATCTGAACTCGTCTCCCAAAGATTAATAATTACTGCATTTTTTGGTTTAACCATGAATAATACAACTACATATGCGATAGAGTTGTCATTTTATCCTGCTCCAGACCCTACAGTTTTCCACATCCTCACAAATGCACAAAATCTAAAGTAAATGAAGCAAATCGGCTTTGACACATTCCAAAACTACAGCTAGCTGACATCTTGAGTCATACTTCTCATGATTTGTCATAAGCCATGTGTTCACTTTTTATTTTAGCAAAAACTAGGTAGGCTCAATGCCTCTCGCAGTTTTTAAAGCAAAATGTTTTGAAAAGAGAGATCTATTTGTATTATTCTTGATCATCTGTATTAAAGATCTTAATATATACCTTACACCCACACTAGCCTCTTCTCATCTAAGTCCATTAGTGTGAAAAGAGCTATTCAAGCCAAGTTATACAGTAGTTTTGTGATGTTCCTTCACAGTATTTGTCTGAATAATCACAGTTCACTGCTGAGCAGCATTCACAACCACCTCACTAACAAACTGAGCCAACAACACTCTATGCTTTACCCAAAGAAAAGTGGCACTGGCCATTTAAAAACTTACCAATTCCAGAAAGTTTATAAAGCTAAGTCATTAACAGTCAACATTTGCCTTTCATTTTCCTATATAAGCTTGAAGAGTAAGAAACTTACATTAAAACTTACATTAAAAGTAGAAACTTACTTACACTACAAAGTAGG